TGTATACTGTGGTGCGCACGAAAAATGAAATTTCACCACTCGATGTCTAGTCTTCATATGCCTCTCGCCCAGACACTCCGGTAAATCGCAGCCGTACTTCCTCAATTTCATCTTCGGAATCCAATCGAGTAATCAGCAGCGCAACAAAAGGACTTATGCTGTCGTAGCGGTTAGCATTGTAACAGTAGAGTCCGTGAGCTTCGAAACTCCTGCGAACGATGTGAAGATGAAGAGGAGTGCAAAACTTAAGCCAAATTCTACGCAGTCCCAACTGAAACTACTTCTTGACAAAATGAGTTAGTTGGATGTCTTCTTACGCTCAAAAGCCGAACACAGTTAGAGCAAGCCAACATATCGGTTAGTTCAAAAGCGAGCTAAGTCGATTCCTTCTCCCACCGAATGCAGCTAAACTATTCAGACGAAAGATACCGATGGAAAAGCCATGTTGCTAAGGATTGGGGAATATTTAAAAAGGGCAAGCAACGTACTTATCAAAACTAATTGTATTTAAAGTTTGTTTTATTTTGGTATTCATTGCAAAATTAATTTGGTGGAAGTTTTAGATGGATTCGAGCAGAGATTAACGGAAGCAATATCTGTGAAAACCCATGTTCAATCCGACCAAGGTGCAAATTTGTCTTAAAAGCTTTTTCCATTCGCTACCCTTGTTCTACACTGTTGTCTTCACTTGTTCCCCGAGGAAACAACTTAGGTACCCGTAGCAGTTCTCAATGTCTTGCTAGGTGAATTTGCGGTAACATTTGCTCTTCTTTTCGTTCATCTGTAGCTATCGGATTTATCCGAATATTCTTTTGAAATCTCTTCATGAATACTTTGGGTGGCTATTTATTTCTGTGAGCCCTAGCCACAATTCGAACCAGGAAAAATAACAGACACAACCACTTATTTATCATATCGTTCTTTTATTCGATTTCTAGATGTCTCCCTTTCCACTCTTGGTCACTACTTGGTGACGGATTGAAGCTTCAAGTTAACTAGTACACCCACGCGAGGCGAACTCTCAGACTCGCTGGTGAAAATTAAATGTCAGGACTGGAAACAGCCGAGAGATAGAATGGGCTGGATGACGTGAGTGACTAGTATGTAACAGCGGCTCCGTCTGGCTTGCCGAACTACTCGTGGTGCTGGCTGAGTAGTTCGGGCTTACTCTGTTCCAGCGAAGTGTTCAGTTGCAGTGTTCCAGTACAAAGTGGGTCTTTGTCTGGCAAGCGTTCTCCCCATAAAAAACACAAATGTCTGTTTAACAACACTGCGACGTGTCGGATGGGACTCAAAAATCACTGCCCCTTCCTTCACCTCGGTGGGTCATTGTATTCCAGCAAGTGCGATGACATAACGGGAATGATTGGGTCTCTGTTTGGCGTTTCGCCACACCAGCACACGGCCAGTTATTGCATGGAAGTGCGAGCGAAACCTTTCGAGGGAATACCTTGCATGGAAGCAGGTCCCCTGGGGGTGGTTCTACGAGTGGCCGTATTACTTTAACTGGACATCTGTTTAAATCTGCTTACGTTATTGTTCCTGCTTTTTAATTTCTTTAATGCCTCAATCCTGCCAATTAGTTTAGTACCTGTTTTGGATCC